TATATATTTTATAAGTATCATACACAAACCACTGAGCAGCTGTCAGAGTACCCACCATGGCAATACAAGGACCCAAACTCTTCCATATTCCACTGAAGCCAAGACTCTTGAAGGTCTGCCAAGGAGAGCTACCAACATCAGAATTGAGTTTAGAGACAACAGTGTCAAAAGGATGACTAACTAGTTTACAGAATATCCCAGCAATGTAGCCTGAAGTAGATAAATGTCACTGCTATCTGTGTGGGCTTGCTGAGGCTGTCTCGATGATTATGGTATCACATATTTGTAAAAAAAACTTATCATAGTAAAATCAGTCAATCCTTCTGCTGCCCAGAGTTTCGGTACACCCTGGCACAGGGTCAATGTTGTAGCTGGAAATTTTTTTCTGAAACTATCATAAGTTACAACTATTCTGTGTTAGATGTAAATGAATGTTCTGATGGATTGTCAAATTGTAGCCAGTCATGCTTTAATACACTTGGAAGTTATAATTGTATTTGTTATGCTGGGTTTATTTTGAGCAATGATGGTCACATAAGTCAAGGTAAAAATGAGAATAATAATGCAAAATAAGTGTTTATTATTTCAGATATCAAATGAGTGCATGCAAGAGTACATTGAATGGAGGCTGCTCTGATTTATGTAACAACATAACTGGTAGCTTTTATTGTTCTTGTGACACTGGTTACTCTTTGACCACTGATAAATATAACTGCACTGGTAATTTGTTAATAGTTTATAATGATCTGATTAAACAATTTCATTGTGCTCTATTGATGTTGATGAAGTTTAATATCCAATGGTGGCTGTGCATAATTATTATCAAGAGTACATGATGGGCATGTACTCTTGATATTATTGTATCAATACAGTTGGTGGCTATTACTGTACTTGTGAATCTGGTTACTCCTTGAATACTGATGGACACACTTGTGAAGGTATTAGTGGACTTACTTGTGAAGGTATTAGTTGATAATTTAATTATGACAATATTGTTTAACATTAAGATATCAATGAGTGTGCGATTAATAATGAAAGCTGTGAATAACTGTGTATCAATAGCAATGGGAGTTATTGGTGCTCTTGTCTCAGTGGATACACATTGGACACTAGCAATATGAACTGCACTGGTATAGAATGTAGCCATATACTGGTTTATTGTCAAGGTGAAATATTTATGCAAATTTTGTGATGCGGCCTTTGTTCACGAAAATTTATGGCATGAAATATTCATTTATTTATTATTCTTATGAATGTTTGGCAAATAGAAATTTTACAACAATACTTCACTCAAAATAAACCATTGTAAGGTATTTTTTGAATTATTGCTCATATAATTTGCATGACACATCAAAAATTGTTATTCTTTTTCAACAGATATCAATGAGTGTCATACCTTTAATGGAGGTTGTAATCAAGTTTGCACTAATACCAATGGCAGTTACACTTGTTCCTGTAATTCTGGATATTGACTAGAATATGATCTGCGTAATTATTAGAATACACATGTAGCTACTGCTATTATATTAAGATATCAATGTTTGTGATGATGAGAGCAATGGATGTAATCACACTTGTATCAATACACAAGGAATTTATGAGTGTCATTGTATGGATGGATTCCATTTAAGAAATAACCAATGCCAAGGTAGTGATTATATGCTTATATTTATAGATAGCAATGTAATAATAGATATTGATGAATACAATAATACAAATGGTGGTTGTCAGTAGTTATGTACAAGTACACTTGGAAGCTATTCCTGCTCCTGTATAGCATTGGCTTTATTGTTAGAGACAACTATTTCTGTGCAGGTAGATATTTAATTTATTACTTACTGAGCATTGTTGTTCTCTAGATGTTGATGAGTGTTCTACTGGTACAATTCCATACAAATAATTGTAGTTGCAAATGTGTCAATGAAATTGGCTCATTTCACTGTGAGTGTTTATCTGATTAGGTATATATATTGCCTGATGATAGAGTTAGTTGTATGGTAAGTTTTAATTAATTGATAAAGCAGGTTTTATATGATTTATTTGTAGCTGGTGGTACTTCAAATGCCAATGGGAGTCATAATAATGAAGTTAATATGTTTGTTATTTAATTTTTAATGTAGAATTCAAATCATTTTGAAAACTTTTTGGACTACACTGTACTATTGCTTATTATATCACTTATAGCTAGTAATCAATCTCACACACATTTTTGCTTTATGCCAATTGCCTCCATTCATGTTCATCTTTCTTTTTTACTGTTTTTAGTCATCTTTGTGCTAATAATTATTAATATTAGTCTAATGATTGTGGTTCTTAGCAAGAGAAAAAAGAAATTAGAATATAACATGTACAGTGATGCTCCATTTTTCACTAACAGAATGTATGGATCAGCAGTCTATACAAAAAGTAAAGAGGACAACAAAAAAATTTATGAGGAAGTGAAATGAACCATGTGAAACATTTTTACATTGTTTTTGCTAATAATATTTGCTGCTATTATACACACATGCATTTACTGTTACAGAGCTATTTGTGTAATTTTTGACCTCATGTTTATTGTTTTACTTAATTAATGTGTTTTGAGAGCCCTCAGCTGATTACACAATGTAAGCTATATCATTGAAATTGAGCATCTACCAAAAAAGGTATAGTTTATGCAAGGCTTCTGAGGAATAGCAGCCAGTTAAAACATCACTGTCAGAGAAATATTTACACACAGCCTACAGATACCATGTATTATGAAATAGATTGATATATAGTAACTCATGAAAACACTATAACTTCTCCTTCAAAAGTTACCAGCTATACAGCACAGCGCTTAATGTGTTTCAGCATCTTTATTAACTTGGAATGACATCACTGTATTGGATCAGTACAAGCAAATTGAGACATAATAAAGGTATAAATAGCCAGCTAGCATTCAAAATTTATGTACAATAATTGCAGTCACAAAAGTGTTAATAAAATCCTACACTTCAAAAAGTACTCATGAAGTACTGATGGTTGTAAAGGTAAGTTTAAATTTTTGAATTTAATAATAAAGCAATTTCTCCTATTTTATGTCAATATGAGTTGCATTTTGTTCAATTAATGAAGCAGCAGTATACACAAAAATGAAGAGGACCATGAAAAATTGAACAAATGAGCAATAGATTTTTTGTGCTAATTGTATTTGGCCAAATGTTCATTGGCAAGTTTATTCATTACTATGGGCAGGAGCCCATGATGAGTGTAGTAGTAGTACTCATCATGGACTCCTGCTATGGGTAGACTATCCAACCGCAAAAGGTCAGCTGTACCCTTTGACAGAGGCTTTATGCATGGTCTGAAAAAACAGTATAGGGCTAGACAGATTATGCTAGAATAATTAGGAGCATAATAGGACAAGTTATTATGCTGGCATAATTGAAACATAATGAGTCTGAAATGTCTGGTCCTACACCCCTAACCACATGATTTTAATTCAATATGGCAGGTAGTACAAGCACTAGTACAACAACAACCCAACTTACCCAACTGTTTAATACCCACATATACACAAGCGTGGCGAGTCCAATGATTTATAAAACTCTATTTTCTAGTGACTCATGTCACTAGAAACATTTTCAGATTGAGGAATTATTACAATGTTAGTAGACATACATGTAATTTGATAGTTGATAATTAAATAAAGCTTAGAGTATGAGTACAATAGTGAGCATAATTGGATTCATTCCAAAGTATAGTAGCCTAGTAGGATGGAATTTGGGGCAGTGCCTAAAAGAAGCATAATTTGCCTAGCCCTAAAGAACAATAGGATACGAATACAAGGATATGAATACGGCCAAAACAACAGAATAATATAATTTTGTGTTTATACATCACATAGCATGTATTTATATCTCATAGGATTGTACATGTACATCAAGACTTACAAAAGTCAGTCACAAAATGATGTCAAGAGATTCATTTCTACTAATATTTTACTTAAATGTGTATCACAACGTTTATTTAACTTGAATGAGAGCATGCTTTATAACTGACATTGAACAATCAATTTTGCTCTCAGTCATATTGGAAGGCAGCATCTCTACACTAATACTACCAGGCTGAAAGAAGGGTTTAGCTATAAGATGAATGTATAAAGTGTAAAATGGATTGAAACATGAACCAAAGTTTGTTTTGAGCAGCATAAAAATAGTTAATGTCAAAATATTATAATATTTAGGATTTCAATTAATTTAGTTAACATACAGTCTAGGCAGTTAGAAAATCATTCACATGTTGTTCTCCTCTGATAATTCTCATCATTCTTAATCGATGTAGTCTGCTAGTAACACTGAGATCCTCTTCAAGCATTACATCATCCAATTCAAAGAATAATTTTCCGTCAACTAATTCATTTGAAAATGTAGCAGCATACTGCTTTAATCCCATTAGACCAAGAAACTCTCCTATCTATACAAATACAAATATAGTGTGCATATTAATAGGATTCTTACTTCTGAAGCATCATAATCTGCTAATAACCTCCTATTCATATCAAAATACTGCCCCATTTTGCTAACCGGTTGCTTTGATTCAGTAGCTGCATGTACTGCAATGATAAAATTTTAAATCCACTTAGTATTGCAAGAATTGGTTACAATGATTAGTTACCTGGACTTTCTTGCCATTTTGTTATACCATAAGCACAGTTGTTTTGAGTAGAAACTTGTACTGGACTTATCAGAGGTGATGGAGGTGATGGAGGTGGTAGACTTATGCTTCGTCTAGGTGGTAGAGGAGGTGGAGGGTGAGTGTCTATAGGGCGCTGTACTGACATTGAAGGTGACACTTCCTTTTGTTCAAATTGTTCGTCTGTAAATAACTCATATATTTGATATGCCTTAATAGGAGTCTTCTTTGTTAAATATACCTCATCTAACCAGTTACTAATATTTTTTGGTAATAGTAGGTCATTCTGAAGCAGATTTGCAGTTGCAGTTAAATCATAAATCACAGCAGATATTTGGTCTGGTGTGAGTTTCTCTGACAATAGGATTGAGTTCTCATTTAAAGCAGCAAGTTCTGCTTCATTTTTTTCATGAACACAAAACATTACTGATACAGTGAAAAATATTTCAACTAGGCTTGTAGATCTAATACTAGGGAGATTGGGTGAGCAAATGAAAGATCCCAGTGATGATATTTTTGTAGTGTCAATCATGGCATGTCTATTACGAAACTTGGGATGAAGGATTTTACCATCACTCAGATAAATTGAAGTTGTAAATGGTTTTTTAAAGCATTTAGCAATTTTTGGCAATGGAAACAAAAGGAGTGACTCTTTTGTACTAAAACATCCTTCACAGGCTTCATCTAAGAAAACTTCTTTCGATGCTTCGCCTATTATTAAACATTTAAGCGTTTTGCTTTTTGGCTTATTAATGGCTTCCAGTATCAACAAAATTTGACCTTTTGAAATGGAGTGCT